TTGATGAAAATTTGTATGACATAGACACATAAATCTTCTTATGTTTACTACTTGTATCAGATTGAATATCTATCTCTAATGTATCTCGCACTGGAATAAGGCGAAATAAAAATCGCTGCTTTAGTTTCCAGTTCAATGCTAAAAGTATCGTCCGATAGCATTTTTTTCAGTAGTTTATTAATATACACAATATACAACAATTTAGACCTAACTGATGCTTAATCAGAAGGTTAGGTATTCAAAGTTTCAGGTATACTTATCCCAAAATAGAGATGCAAATGCTGAGTTTTCTATGTCCTTAGGCACAGGACATACAGAAAAGACGTAAGAATCAGACAGGGCGCGGATATTGTCAGTTTCATAAAAAATAAAGAAGCGAATGGTAACACATTGTGATCTCAACCCATCTCTTTTGTGATTCATCAAACATAACTCCCTCCCTGGTAAGGGAAACTGGAAGCGAATGACGGACGACGAAGAGAAGGACGCGGAAGAGACATATTATTGAAGTGAAAACTTCTTTAGCGGTGTTGTACAGTTTTTTGTAAGAAGTAAAAATGTGAAACTCGCATCATGACACGCGATCTGATCGCGTCAGGATACGTGGCCTGAAAATTTGTAAGTACAATTTTTTTACAATAGATGTCGCTAGGTGTACTTAAATGTGATTCATGTTAGTTGATTTTTCTGAGAGGTAGTAAATAAATAAAATAAATAATTCCAACACTCACACCAATTAGCCTAGCCCCAAAGTAAGCACTATATAAGGCTTGTGTTATGGGATACTAGGTTAACGGATAGAACACAAAAACTGTACATATATAAGTATATTTTTATATAAAAATACATATTAAACATCCATGACTGGAGTACAAACGCTCGTATTCATCACACAAACATCTGCCCCCACCAGGATTCGAACCCGGACCTCTCGAGTCGGCGACACTATGAAACCCGGCGTACAAACCACTCGACCACGGAGGTCGTCTCACTTAAACTATATAGATAAACATTTTAATGTAATATAAATGGTCAGGTTTGTGTACGATAGCGCAATAAATCAATATTGTATTCTTTCACATAAATGATAGTACTTTTATACTGATAATTAAAGCAATTCGTGCAAAATATTCCCTAACCATCCAAAAATATCAAAAATGCACAATGTTAATATTCAAGTTTTCACTTCTGTCGGCACTCCTGGAGTGCAACCCGTCGTTTTTTTTTTATTTCAGGTTCCGTCTGCGCCTTACACCTTTCCTTTGTGTTCCTTATGTCAAATAGAGCCAATATAATATGTGGAATTTTGCCGAAATCTATAAATCACCTCCCTTTTGAAATGTAGGTATGGGAGTGGTAATTCTTGTTTACATTATTTATTCTAGTTTTGTCGATCTTTTTAATAGTCTTCCAACCCCCAAGAAATTCATGGCGTAAATTTGTATAATAATATAGCATGTCAAAATAGGACGGCTTGGTGAAGAAGCACAGTTGGTTCTTACGGTAATAGGTTAGAAACCTGGTTTTTGTTTGAGTAGTAACCAAAAGAATACTAGCTGTCATGATTCGTACGAGTTCAAATTTATATTTTTAAAACAGTGTAAGTTCTGTTGATTTTTTTTTGTTTAATTGTTTTAAATATTGAAATTCTACCCTATACATTATAATTAAAAAAGAGAAAATAAATGCAGCTTACGTACTTTCCGAATTAAGTCCCCCTTCACTTCTCGCTATGCTCTTTGTACCGTACCTAAATGAAACGCAAAACCTGTAATATACCTCAAATTTAGTTTTCTTGCAATTTGATCAACAGCCGTGTAATATAAAAAGGCGTTTCCGAACGCTCGAATTATTCCTTAATACAAATATTTTACGCAATATAATATTCAGGATTATTTACAGGAACGAAAGAATCTCGAAGAAACAATACTTGTTGTATGTATATAGGGCTTAACGAATTTTCCGCTCGAGTTGGAAGGCCCGTCCGGGGCCACAGAATATCGCAGTAAAATAACACTTCCTTTTGTGTTGGTGGTTGTTGGGTTTCTTTCGGTAAGAAAGGTTTCAGGGCCCCACGGGGTAGAGCATTGGGTCAAGATAGGCAACAGCGTGAGCAAAAGTTTTGATGTAGTAAGCGTCTCTACGTTATGGTGGCTGATTACAATCAGACTATTGTGTTTATATATATGTTTGTTTTCCATCCTTTTAACATAAAAAAAATACGATAAGTGTCGCTGAACGACGGTTTGTAGGGTATCATGGTAACCGCGGGCTGGGTCTAGAAATAGCGCCTCACAAAACTGGCGCTATGGTTCCACGGCCTTCTAAGGCGACGGGAACCACCCAGCTGCCGGATACGGGTAGGTGACGCAGAGGTTCAGGTGGGGCCAAATATCAAATACCTTGGTCTCACCTTGGATAGCTGGTGGAGCTTCGAAGAGCATTTCGTGCGGTTGGTCCCCCGAGTCAAAAGGGTAGCGGGTGCCTTACACCGCCTGCTGCCCAACCTCGGCGGACCGAGGGACGGCGTTCGCCGCCTGTACGCGGGCGTCCTCCCGCTGCAGAGCTCTTCTCCGGAACATGCAGCGGACAATGGCTATACGGATCGTGCGGGGCTACCGCACAATCTCGTACGAGGCGGCGACAGTTCTGGGGCGCTCCCCCCCTTTCGAAATCCTGGCCAACATGTACGCGGTGATGTATAACGCGCCGCGACATGTCGACCGGGGGGGAGACAGGGAGAGTTTCCCAGAACCCGCGCATGGAATGCACAGGCGGGAGTTGCACCGACGGGCTGAGAGGGATTGGCGCGCACAGCTAGAATTGGGGGGCTGCGCGCGTCAACGTGCCGTCGGTGCTATACTCCCGCACTTCGAAGCTTAGCTCCACGGGAAGGAGGCAGTCACCTACCGCTTGACTCAGGTACTCACCGGACATGGTTGTTTCGGTGAGTATCTGAGTCGAATAGGGAGGGAGGACACGGCACGATGTCACCACTGCGCATCCGAACTAGACTCGACCCAGCATACGCTGGCGGATTGTCCCGCTTGGGATTCCGAACGCCGAGTCTTGGTCGGAAAAATCGGGCAGGATCTGTCTCCGCCAGTATTGATTGCGGCAATGCTTGCGGATGAGGGAGGTTGGAAGGCTGCGGCCTCCTTCTGTGAAGCGGTGATGCACCAGAAGGAGGCCGCCGAGCGGGATCGGGAGATATCCGATCCCCGAGCCTGTGTCGAGAGTTAGGAGTCGCGACGGATCACCGGCTGAAATTATATCGTGGATATGATTCCATGAGATTAAGATGGACTCGATGCGATTCCTCTACTTATAAAGATGGCACATAAGTTATTGGATTCCAACAGTAATGGGTTGATAGCCTATTGCCTATAAAACAAATGTCATTCAATTTATAACAATAGGTATTATGTACTTTTGATAGTGTTGTGTTTCTGCTGATGAGTAGGGTTCCAGGGCTCCGTGGGGTAGGAAATTCAAGCCGGCAAGGTGAAGATGGTTGAAGCGGGACACTTTTTGCCGCGTCATCTATCTTCGCGACTGGACTCCACCTAAACTTAAAATTAGATGGGGCGGGGTAATTTGCTGCGCCTCGTATAAAAAAATGTTTGAAGACTGAAGCAGCAGTGGTTTAATAATTGCGTATAATTATGTTAGTCATTAAATTAAAAGCATTCGTGTTCTTAGGCCGTTTGTAATATCAGCGGCACCTTGCGCTCGTGGGTACAAGGGCACGCTCGACTGAACAGTTAACTCATTTATTTCTGATCAAGAAGTTGATAAGACACGTCTTTCGGCTTTACGGGGCCGCCAGTGCTTAATCAGTCTTAAACACAGAAAGGGCGCAGAGCTTGTATCTCATGAATAACTTATTATATTTTAGCATTTATAAGTTGTGATCTTGCAAATTTGCATAGTTGTCGTAGAATCAAAGTATTAAAAAGTAAACAAACTAGTAGGTATTAATTTTTCAGTACAAATTGACAATTTCATACTATAACCACTAATTTTTACGACACTCGTCGTAGCCACAATCACAAAAACGACACGTTTGACATTTGTTAAATCCAAAGAAGGTCTAAAGCTTGCAGGTCACATTTGTTGCTAATTGTAATATTGGCAACAGTTAATTCTTATCAAGTATCATTTAAGGAGTAAAAGATTAAAGTATAGTAGTATAGTAATACTATTAATTTGTAAATTTTAACTTTTTTTTTGTAAATTAAATAGTAGTTTTTTTATTAAATTTAGAAAAAAAAGTTAAAATTTACATATTAATAGTAATACTATTTGCCTCTCTTTTTCACTCCTTAGAGTATGTTAAGGACAATTTACACTGCAATTCCGTAAGTGTGAGTAACCTCACCCAGTGTAAGAGTGAATGAGTAAACTCACTTTGCACCGCGGATTCCGCGGCGAAATTTGAAATTTGTGTTCAAATTTGTATTCTAATTTCAAATCACGTGTCATGTGTAATAGCCATGTGAAGTGCCGTCACCAAGTACCAGCTTTAGATCTTGTCTGGTAACAAAGGTGGCAGGCTAATGCGTTATTTACTGTAGGGCTAAGAGGATCATGGCCCGGGGCTGCAGGTTGTGAGAGGCGGCAAGGGCCATTTAAAGGCATTCGTTACGGACCTGTATTATTAATTTGATTGACTAAGTCTAAGGGTGCAAATAGTAACCGGGACGCCATATAAAATACGTCCCTGGTGGCAGGTTGCTAGCTACCTACAACAGTGTCTGGATATGTACGTTGAAAGGTAAGTAAAGTAAAGTAGGTCTTCTATCTGCATGTACATTTTTTTATGTTTTTGGTAACGAAACTCTCGTATGTGAGTACGAGATGTACATAGCTGGTCCCTTTCATGTGATGCTATGACAAGCAGCACGCTAGGGGACTAGTTGGCGAGATACTTGTATTGGCTGACTTTTGGCTGTAAACAGTGCTATGAAACAAAAAAATATTAAATGAAACACATATTATGTTTGCAGTCTCATTTAATTTATCATTTGTATTAATTAAGATAGTTACATGATAACACCCATTGCGTAACAAATTGGACTGGAAGATATGTTAAGACCTGCGGATACATGGTACATAGGTACTAGGTTATTCCGTGAGACCCCCTCTCCATATAAATAGAATGTTTAATTTCTCCTTTGAACGGAATAAAGATGATGTATTATCAGATTTTCGTATAATTTTCTTGTTTGAAACTAAATAACCCGAAAGTAAGTATGAAAAGGTGTCACAGAAAACAAATTAAACCCTCACGAAAGCTTTGCTATTTTGTTAATAGAATAGACTTATAAATCAAAGTAGAATTAAAATAACTGGTTTTGCTTCTTACGTTAGTTTTCTGAGTAAACGAAAATAAATAAATAAAAACAATATACTTAAAGCGAGCTTAGTAAATTATTAAATGACGATATTCTAAGTAATCGTCAGAAAAACAGCAGTGTACTTCATTCCTATTTCCCGGACGAGTTTTACAAAGTTCCCTCAAGCGCCTGTTGTACGGCTCATCCATCTTACTCCGAATAAACGGCAGAGGGGGCCCTAAATATCATTCAAAGTGGATATGTTTCGTCCGAATACGAAGCATTACTAACACGAAAAACGTAACTCTAAATGTCATGTTGTTATTACATACTTTAATATTGTCATTGTTTTATTTTAATTAGTATTAATCATAATACTTTACAAATAGTTCACTAGACGAAATGTAGAAAAGACAACTTAGTATCTATTTATTACTTCAGAGCGCTTCGCGTTAGCGTGTAAAAAAATCAAAACAAATTTACCTAAATTTCATCTAGGCTAATTATATATATTTTTCTATTTATATATATATTTATTATATAACAATAAGCATTCCTCATATTGTACACATGCTTAGAAATATTTTTTCAAATTCGATATAAATTCCATTTGGAACAAACATACCTTAATACAAAACCGAATTACTATAACAGTCGGAACTCTTCATGAAATTACATTAGTAGCACTTATGTCACTAGTTATGTATTTACAATAGATACAATAGAAAAAATAATGTTAGAAATAATAAGCGTGTCCCGTATTTTAAAGAAACCAATTTCTTATGAGTAAACAGACCTGAATTTAAACCGAAAATGTTTTGACAATAAAATAAAAAAGTAAATAAAACTTAATTTACTGTATTTTATAATTGTAAAAAAAAATACTAAAACCTGACACTGTATAATTACTATGGCACTGCTTCGTATATTTAATATAAATTAATTACTATAGTAAATGGGAATGGTGTAAATGGAACATAATATAACTCTCACTTGTATTCATATCACTTGGACACACGAAACAACTGCATGGAATGTTTTTTAACATATAATAGTGTAACATGAAAACATACTAATAGTACTTACTGCATAAAACCTTTTAACTTTTTTATACTTCAACTTTTTCACATTTTAATTACAATATGGAATTCATCATGTGCTAGTCTATGTTCTAGATAATATAATATATTTCTGCTAGTTATAACAATAAAATATTCAGAGTCTTTATGATTATATAGTAGTACTTACGTACATTTTAGATTTTCTTTCTTCTTATACCTCTGATGTGTAATCCGAGCACCGATTTACATAGATAAAATTGGTTATACCCTATTCAATTAAAGAACAATACACGTGTCATTTTTCTTTGTCAAAAACGTATTTAAACTTAAACTACAACATAATTTATTATGGCAACATATTCTTTTGGTAAAAGATATGAATACTTCTTTGAAAACAGTATTATTTTTATGAGGTTTCGAGAAAATGATATTACAGTGAGTGATTTACCCGAACGGATATGTATCAGTAGGTACTTGAACAGGTACTATAAGCTCTAAAACTCGACACTAGAGAGTAATACTTTTGTCTTACATTATTCTTTATAAGTCTCTAGGCAACTGTCGTTTGCGTGAAAAATGTCAGTTGCGCCGTTATTCTCCAACCGTGGCATTTAGTACTAAAACACTTTTTGTGGACGCAAGTTAGTACGTAATATTTGTGACTAACATCTGGCGCGCGTACTAATTGACACATTTCATTTATTATTACTTTTAATGTTTCTATTTTATTCCAACGGCGTTATGTAGCGAGCGAATAATTCATCGTCAGTCACATTGTCGTATCGTGGTAGCGGGTCTTATGGGCGAACTGAGATCGATGTGGCGACCACTAGCCTTCACACTGGCAACACAGCCGCTGAGGCCCGTGTAAAGTGCCGCTGGTAACCCCAACGGCAGCGTCGGTGAACCTCCTACCAGGAAAATTACATGGTACAATAGAGGAAAATGTTAAATGTTACCAACAGAGGGATTGAATCTTTCGATTTCCTGTTCAGTGGGTACGTTGTTGAAATTCAGTAATAATTTTAACGTAACTCGTTTGATACAAAAATAATCTTCTATGGAAAACAGCCTACTGAATGAATCAGTTGAACCATCAAGACAGGTAGTTCATGGCATATCTACTAATAAATTTTGAGCACATTCATGGTGCTGTATTTATATTGGTGCATGATGATATTTTCGGCAGTATTATCATCTATCTTCGCACCTAGATTATACCTACAGTTAAAATCAGTGACCACCTCACCTACTTGGTAATTTGCTATGCCTTGTTTTAAAAAAAATGGTAAAATATCCAAGTGTTAGTAATAATAGTAAACTCACCGATCCAAAGTTTAGGGTTTGACTTCGAGGGCACCAAAAGTGATTGAGAGTACCCTCTTACTGGTGGGGTGTCATCAACTTGCAACATCGCCAATCGCTTCCTCCTCCTCACTGTGGCAGTGTGCCACATGCCATCATCTACCCTGGCCTTTGACTCAACACATTGGAACCAGTCTTCCCTTGTGTTGTTCAATTCCTTTATATTCGTGTCGGTGTAGATGAGTTGAAGCTTGCCTTCGCTTATTCCTAAACCTATGAAGTCTCGGGGCCGGATGCCGATCTTCCGCCTCCACATCAGCAGTCCCGAGTCGTTGTACGTTCGAAATTTTATTTCGTACCTAATACCACGGGCGCTACGGTTCCTTAAAATAAATTTAAAATCGAATGTCAAACTTAAAAGAAATATTAAAAACACGCATACTACCCACACAAAGTCTTTAAGTCTTAAAAAGAACGAAGAGAATAAGTACATGTTAAAGTGCTAATACCAATACTAATTTTATAACAATTACTTATAATTATGATCAAATATATAAAACACCGAAGAATCATTGCCAGCAAAACACACAAAAATATGTAGTAAATAGCCAAAAAACGAATGTAACTTACGAGTATCACTTTACTCAAAGATACGAAATACAAAACATTAAACCATAACCGAAAAGAAAACTAACTACAGGTGAAATCATGACGAATCAAAATAAAAGAAAGCGAGAAAAACAGCTTTTACTTCGCTGTTGTTGTTTTGTGAGTGCAATAAATCAATTTCAGAACTATAAGTACGCTTTTAAACTGACAATAGTTCATAACTAGCCAGTACATGAAACTAAACAGTTTCAAAGCATTCGGTGTTTATGCCATCACGTTTATGCAAATGGAATACAAGTTCTGGTTTAACTTATCAGCAAGAGTGCTAAGATTAAAGTAACTAAGTACTTATTTCTTTAAGAGATAAGACTTGAAACTAACAAATAAAGTGTTATCACAAAAATATAATTATAACGCCAACGGATTGTAAATGAGATTCTAATTCTTTGTATAGCATAAACAACTCAGAGGATAATACATATGAGTTTTTCAGCATGTTCGGGTGTTGGCTTTCGGTGTTCAAAGATTGGCACATAAACCATAAAACGCAATAAAGTTTTATATTGCTTATTCCTTTGAGAATGAATAAGCAGTAAATATCAAAAAATGTGACAAAAATATTAACAACATACAAACTAAAGTTCTATGACCCGTGCAAAACATGCGCCCTCAAGAAGACATTAGGGTATCATTTTTCAAAATCACAAAAAAGTTTCATTACAGAGCATGATTGGCACTTCAGGAAACGTGGCGCGCATTTCAATAAATCCGGCAGCGGTTTCATTAAAAATAGTTTACGTAAATGTTACTACATTGGCTTTGTTAATACAAAAATATTTTACTAACCTTTACAAATACACTTGTCACATCATTAGTGAAATAGTCACCGTTGATGATAGAAAATATTTTTTAATGATGTTGTATTCGGTGACACAACAACCGCTCTAACACTAAGTGCTCAAAATTTGGTTGACTACATCTAAATTACACTTAAGTGCCACAATTTCCGTGTTGCCATTAAATATTCACGAGCATGAAACAATAGAAAGCACCTAATGTCCCCTTTTACCACGAAAAATACAGAGAAGGAGGCGGTATAACATGTGTTTACCTAATCTAAACTTTCTGCAGTAGTGTATTATGAAACTAAATGTTATATTTCGTTTCCACCGTATGTTATCTTACATCGTAAGGTCCTTCACCACCATCTTTGTTAGTACGAAGGCTAGAAAATAAATTTTGTTAGTGAGGAATAATATGACAAAAGCTATATTTACGATATACATTATAGAACAACATTATTTACTTTTACATTATCGTTCTATGCATTTATAAAGCTTGATTTTATAATTGAGGATTAAAAAAACTTTAGTTTTGTCTGAGTGAAGCTTACTTATTTTAGTTTCCGTAAATGAGCTAATTAAGTCCAGTTACGGCTGCAGCGTACCACTGCACTGGGTGGAGCACTTCACACGAAAACTTTGAAAAGTTAATAAAACAGCTTTACTTTCTCGTTGATTTTGTATTGTTGGTTGTAAAGTACCAAACAATTTCAAACCTAATATAAACATTGGATCAAGAATTTAGTGTTAACTAAATTGTTTTTATAATCATTACCTTATTACCCAAAAAAAAATATATCGATCACTGAAACTTTATTTCAGTGAGGCTAATGAGTTAGTAGAATTTTATTTTTTTAATTCATTCTAATATGAAAAGAATAGAACAGTTTCAAATCTTACCTGCGATTGCCTCTACTCCTATACGAGTAGTAGTTATTTCCATCAAACTTAATCGGAGATCTGTCGTTGAGCATTTCGGCCATTTGCACTTCACAATTCCTGCCTCGAAAGCCATCCCGACAGATGCATTTGTATTCGTTGAGCATTGGTATACAACTTCCATCATTTTTACATGGTGTTATACCTGAGTATTGCGAAACATATATTATGTACGAGTAAGTATTTTAATATATAGGAAGGTATACTAAAGAAACCCAAAATAATATGAAAATAAGATAATAATATAAAGAAATCTTAATAATACGGTAGCTACGTAATTGGAAATTTTAAGTATATTATAATTGAGTCGCGAATTTCAGATGACCATTAAAGACAATAAAATATTGTGAAGAAATAAAAATTCTGTAACGTACTCATTAGTAAGCTGCATCTTGCCTAAAATTACTTTTATCTTGCGGTACCAAATAACGAAAAAGCATCCCATCGGTAATTCAACACATAGAATCTCGGAGCAAAACACAATATGTTGTTATCCTAGTTCGGCAAACCTGTTGAACAATTCAGAATGCTTACCATCTCCACAAGGCGGTCCAATGTACTTAGTAACCCCACTCGTTGCACAAGGGAGCTTGTCTTCGTCTTGAACTATAGCACATCTTGCAACGTCTGCGCCGTACAATGACAAAGAGTTTCCATTCACGAAGACCTGTTGCACAGCTCCTATAAAACTGCTGGTCACGCCAGACATTTTATGAGGACGAATGTAGGCCCTGAAAAAACGAGGATGCTAACGTTTGACAAATCGAGGAATCAAGCCCGATAAGCTCGGAGCTCGATTACGTTAAATTACGTAAACCTACATCACTAATGAGGATCGCCGTGATCATTAATCTGGACTTTGATATAGACAGTAATGACGCGTTATTTCCGTTAATGAACTTCTGACAGATATTAGGCAAGTTAATGCGACATGCGAACTAAGTAATATAGCTTTTTTGCATGCCAAATACCGTAACAGATGTTACGGATATATTCCGTGATAGAAATTCCGTATTTCAATTGCGAGATAGTAAAACGTAAAAGAAAGAATACGTTTAATAGATAAAAAGCTTTGTCTCCACTACGCCGCTGTGATCTAAAATGTTTGGTTTACCGGTATATTTAAACATTCACTGAGGCTTGGTGCCAGTGTCGATTAAAAATTTAAATCGAACCTTTCTTCTATGAACGCGTCGAAGAAACACCCTCATTAATTCAGCCTTGCGAAATTAGTTACGAAGTAAGTATTAAAATATTAATAAAGTTTGTTTTTATCCGTGAATATTGAGAGACTTTTAATTTGATTTTACCACCAGCCCCATAATGGGCTAAGTACTCTTCAAAATAAATTATATTACAACCTTCTTGACTTTATTTACTTTCTTGGAGATAATTTAACTAAGTTAAGTAAGGTGACCTTAAAACTCCTAGAATTAAGTTATACAAAAAACAATAAAATTGCAAACTGACGTCGATTAGCGGAAAATCCAGTAGTAATGAAAGAGTGACGTTTTTCAATGAAGTTCTTTTTTTACGTTTATGCAGGCCATCTTCCATCGGGCGTGTCTTCCGGGTGGCGGATGGGGATACCGGTTTCGGCCGGCATGGACCAACACCAGCTGAAATCTTGTAACCCCGTATTAAGTGCGGGGCCGAGGGCAGCCATCCTCCTCGGGCGTTGGGGGCCGCGAGGAAGAAAACCTCGCAACAGCGGCGCCCCGCTGCGCCGTGTCTGAGGTGACTAGCCGATCATCCGGGGATGTCTTGGGTAGTAGGCGATGCGAACCGCCTGCCACCAGGGGTAAGACCCCTGGGGATGATGTCGCTGAGTCTTTGGCGCCGCAGCCGGCACCCCTAGACGGGGGGATGTCTGAGTGAACCTCGTCGCTCGGACATATCTCTCTCTGGTCACCTCGCGTCGCCTGTGGCTCTCCTCCTCTCTCCTCGGAGAGAGGGCCGAGAGCCGTGAGTGCCTGGGGATAGAAGGTGCCGACTCACGTGTCGTGGGTGAGGGGAGAGGAACGGAGAGAACTACGCTCTCCATTACGCTCCTACCGGGACCAGCGGACTGACAGGCTAACACCAGTCCGCATTGCGTAGTTCCTGTGATGGGCGGTGCCCTAGATGCTCCGGGGAGTTTGTTCCAGATCTTTCTGGTAGGTACGCAAGAAAAGGAACGAACATAGTCATTCGTTTACAAATTATCGCTCGCTGTATACAAACAACAATATCTGACTTGTTCTGTTAGAATCCACCTAAATGTTGTTACTGATAATAATATACTTTAAAATTGACTAATTATAGGGCTCAACACTACTTTCAGTCATTTCACAGAACCTGAAATAATTCTACTTCATAATACTCACGGTAAGGAGCCGATAAAAAGTGGTAATGTCAATTCCAGATGCGTCAACGGAGGCGCCGAGTGCCCCCTCTGTGTTGGATGGCGGTCGAGCTGTAGGCTGCCGTGGCGACCATTCCTAGTGATTCGTGCTCTATGCCAACGGCCTTTGGTTATGGGAACGGAAGACCTTAAAAAAACAGGAACATAATACTCGTAAATATAAAGAATTTTTACTCGAAAAAATTCCAAGCGGTCCAGGCATCAAACGGGGCTCGAACCCTCCTCTATCCGGGCGGATGCACTGACCAATTATGCTACATCGACCTTCATGGTTATGTCAAATATTTTCTAGTATATCTTAGCTATATAGTATAGCTGCAAGGCAGCGCCATTAAACATCTAGCAGTTAAAAAATGAAAATATAATAAATGAACGAATATATTAGATTAACTTTAAATTTTCTAGACTGATGACATTGTAAGTAGTTTCATTTTTCAAAGCATGGATTAATATCCATGCTTTGAAAAATTAAACTTTGAATCGCTATATTATGTAATTCATCATATATAATTTTATATAATCTCTACATTATTTTATAATGTAGAAACTCAATTCCGACTTAAGGTTCACACTTACGTAATATTGGCGATGCCGCTCCCCAAGTTGTACCTAAACTGAAGGTATCCTTCTACTAAGTTAATCGCTATAAAATCTCCTTTGGCTTTATTAGACTGGCCTGTGTAAAGGAGCATCCCGGAGAATCGGTTCGTTAAAAACCAGATTTCGATGCGAAACGCTTTACCCAGCCCTTCGAGTGGAGGTAATTCGACGTAGCTCGTCCCGTTAAATTGAGGGGACCACGTCTCTTGGACTACATTTACATCTGTAAAAAAATAAAAAGGGCGAAATTAAAGAGACGATTGTTCTCCTATTGTTTTTCTACTACGTTTTGTTAAGGAGTATTGCGCTTTTATTTTTCCCCATTGTAGTAATTATATGAATTATATTTAATTTATTTCTACATCACTGTCGACGATCTCATTTATCGGAGTGGACAATAAAAAAAATGCTTTAATTTATTAATGGTGGCGGGAAGATTTTAATCAAAAGAAAATAATCTGAAAGGAGCCGACTAATTACTTAAAAGAAATCGTAAGCTCACCATTGCTACACGTATTGCCATTGGAGCCAATTTCTCCTCCAAACAAACAGCGACAGACATGTCCTCCCTCAGGTCCGATGTCACACAATAGCCCCTCATCATATCCGCAGGGATTCGACTCGCACGGATCTAATCTCTCGTCACAATTGGCTCCTTGGAATCCGATAGGGCAGATACAAATATATTCGCTCGCTGAGTCGTCCACTGGCGAGCATGTGGCACCATTCTTGCAAGGCATACTCATACACGGACTAGCCTGACATTCCCTTACATTTTCAATAGCGACAACTAATGAGTCCGGTCTCCCCAATTTCTTTGTCACTTGATGACGTATTATCCTCAAATACTTGACGCATCCAATAAAGCCACTCCGTGTGCCGATGTTATCGAAAACCCTGAATAATATTGATTATTTTAATGCGTGATTGCTTATTGGGAACCGAGTATATAAGTGTAATGATGAGTTTCGATATTATTATTAGGGTTTAACTACACCGTACTGTAATTACCACTAACTATTACTGGTTGGTAACTACCAACAATGGTAATGCTACAACTTTAATAAAATTGAGTGGGTATATGTGGATAACAATGGTATGTTCATTAAACTTGAATGACCTATTTGGATATAGGTATATTTGAAATATTTCGTTTATTTTTTATTTATTTAGATTAAGATATTAATCATATTTCTATTCTAAGCTAGTATGCATGTTAAAGAAACTAGAGGAACTTAAGCAATTTAATAAATTTTCCTCTAAAAGTCATCGACATCTATCAATATATCAATATTAAAAAAATGGTAAACAGTGTTTGAATTTTCATGAATGTTGAAAAACACGGGATCATCTTGAATAGTCTACATTATTAAAGTTAAATAGAATAAAGAAATAAGAGAAGTCTACCGGGACGGTGTTTTCATGAGACATACTCGTAGTTGTCGCAGCATAATGCTATAGGAAAATTATAATATCACTAGGGTACAAAATTACCTGGAATAATTAGTAGGCACTTTGCCAATGTAAGCATCTTCAGCGAGGTCCAAAGCCTTTAAATGTCCGCTGGACTGTCCAGCAACATCCTCCATATCATCAATGGACAGTATACCATCTCGGTGATATCTCTTGGCTGATACCTTATGATATTCGTTTAACGTAACCTTTTCCAATGATGTTAAAATTATAACTCCATTGCCAAGATTATATCTGATACAAAAAATAAAAATTTATCTTCTTTTAAAAGAAAACACAAATGTTTATCCATACCAAATATACCAGAAAAGTTGAAATATCGATTTAAAATTGAGCTACTTAAACGTTTTGCAGATATTCATTTTGCGACACGAAAGCAAAATTCGAATTGAAAAGCGGTGAACAGAAGTGAGAAATCAGAAAATATTGCTCACCTAAACTCTAAATATCCATTAACAAGAGCGAGGGAAACAAAGTCGCCCGTGCCGTCGGGTTTCTGCTGATTGTACAATAATACGCCATTCTCCGAGAACGCTTTGAACTCAATGTCGATGTTCAGCTTGTGGTAAGCCTTTAGTGGTTTAAGGCGTATATATGCGGAGCCGTCAAAGGATGGCGTCTCAATATATGATCCTATTTGGGTGTCCTTTGATAGCGATTCGCAATTGAGCCCGGTGTAAAGGCCAGTGCACACGCAACTGTACGTTGAGCCCGGCAGATCTATGCAGGTGCCGAAGTTGTAGCAAGGATCAGAAAGACACGCGCTGTATTCTTCCGTCGTCTCTTGTGTTGTTTGCTCTGAAAAGATAAATTCTTGGTACTCACCTTTTTCGTTACAAATAAGTAGGTACGCGTACTTTGACGACCTTTTCATAAAACATCTTACAGAATCGCCTTCTTTTCACTTCTGTCACAGAGCTTGATATAATAAAATTGAGGAGGTATTCAGTATGCGATAAATAAATTTCATTTTAGCGAATAAAACATTCTCATTCATAATATCACTGTTGATTTTTTAAATTTGTTAAAATAAATAAGACATCATTAAATACATTTACTAACGGCGTGATTTTGAGTCTGATATCGTAATTTATCAATGATATCGTGTCAACCTCGATTTGTATAGAAATGCAAAAATATTATTACAATTCCTTTCTTCATAACGACATTTCATCTTTAAAAACACACACACACACACACACAACATTAAAACTGTCAAATGGATTGCAAAATTTAATCGATTTCTTCATCCAACTGAAAACCAATTACTTAATCAATGTCTTTCACTCATTCATTAGTTCATTTTCCATTTTTAATACTTATTTTATAAAAGATTTGACTGCGTTTAAACACAATCCCACTTGATGTTAAGCAACGATATGGTCTAAGCTAGAGCACGCAGACCCAAATATTGCCTATTTACTCTACTCTTTCTTAAAGAAGGGATAACAAATGTATCGGGGAATAATAACGCAGGAAGGAAAAAAACATTAAAAAGATAAACTTACCAACGCAAGCTTTCCTATGCACTGTGGCAATGTATCCAGGACGGCATTCGCACCCGCCTCTAGTACAATGAGCGCCAGGCAGAGCGGAACAGTCCGCATCTTCAGTGCACAAATCCCCCAGTAAAGCTCCCACCGCGCCCACTGTTGCAGTAGTTGCTGTTTGCGAACCTAATGGAACGCATTAATATCAGATCGACAAGGTCTAGGGATCTTAATTGAATAAAGATAATGTATTTTTATCCATATGGTGCTATTGATAAAAATGGACGCGTCTAGCAAAATTTTATCATTCATTTCACATTGGTACCATAATTTAAAAGCTTTTTTAGTTAGGGAAAACCAAATCAGTAAAATGGCAACATCAGCCGCCGTGCCATACTATAAGAAGAAAAATTGGCGTGAATTGTAAAAATTAACATTAAGTGAATATCAATGAAATTATATACTTAGTAGTTAGTAGATGGTAGTTTTTTGTCAATACACCAATTCGTTTATACGTAGTTACGATTTGACAAAAAGCTATACCAGATATAATGCAATCCCATTTGTATCAGTGGTTGTGCGAAAAGATAAGGCAACAAATATTTAGGGGGGTCTACGCTTTTTCACCCAACGAACATTCGGTAAGGCACGGAGTTTAAATGAAATTTCATTTCGGCACTTTGAGGTTATAATTTGGACGATATACTATCAAATTCAATTTTTCGTTGAGAAGCCCTGATTAGATTTAGATAATCTTAACCTAATTATTTTTTCAGGCAAACGAATCCTATCTGAAATTCTGTATTTCCACAATGTGTCTTTATTCTAATTCAAAGATTACTTCAATACCATGTGATGGCATATTATCAATATTCTCTTAATTGCCCTAATAAAATTGTGCCGAATCAAACACCGAATTGAAGTTTGATATGAGTGTTTAATAATAATATCAATCTTTATCCATTATGTTAACTTATTTCAGTTAGGCTGAAATATCCATTGATATACAATATTGATTATAGTATTTGTATTTTATATTAATAGTGCAAGCATTCAAAAGATCACGAATTGGTGACTTAAGTATTAAAGTAGGTACAGTATGCTTTAAATAAATTATTTTAAGTTTTTTTTATATATATTTTATATTCTTTCAATAAAGAAGGCGCAAAAGCATACAACCTGTAAATTTTGTTTCAATTCCATATTAAGTGGCAAAATTATTTTGAAAGCGCCACAAACAAAATTCCAGCCTATAACAGACACAACAATAATTCAAGAAAGTCAACCTAAGCAGGAAAAAAATAACGAGATGACATGCGAAAATGGCGCCATTCAAATTTAGCAATTAATCATAGCAGTCCGTAAGCGACATTTTCCTCTTCAAGCAATTAGATGCTAAACCAACAAAATGAAATACGGTAAGTATTTCGGCAATGTCATTAAGAATGATCATCGAGGGTGATTTATTTGTGTAATCGTGCCTATTTATTTAATTAGAACTCTAGCGGCCGCCTGCGACTTCGTTCGCGTTAATTTAAGTTTTTTTGGAACTACCTCAGAAACCTAACATTTTCCGGGATAAAAAGCATCATATGTCGCAATCCGGGTCATAAACTATATGCGTACTAAATTTCATCAAAATCCGTTTAGTAGTTTTCGCGTGATTGAGTAACAAACATACAAACTTTCACATTTATAATATTAGTAGTAACAATCAAATAAACAAAGCTCACAAACGAAAAGCTGCAAAAGAGAGTGCAAATTTAGATATTGACTATCAAATATTGCAGCGGAAATTCGAAAGATGAAACAGTGAACCGCCCCTATAAAATTATTTGTACACAGATACATTTTTTTTTGTAACGGTTAGCTGGGTTATAGAACGAATCAATTTTAATGTTTAAAATCTACTTCTTCAACTGAAATTGTAAAAGACTTTAGTATTTATATGTTTACATACCTATATAACAATATATACAACTTAAATATTTTTAGCGTGATTGATTATGAGTATGTACAAAAAATCAAGATTTTTAATAATACCTATAATAACTATGATTGACAATTTTTTAACATAGGTACGTATTTTTAAGTTGCGTAGTAATAATAACGTTATAAACTTCTCAGATGTATTTTAAACTATAGTAAGGTCTGATTGCAGCAAGTTCGCTAAATCTTGGTTCATCTAAAACTATAATCAACCCATATTAAAGTGTCGAAACGTCAATTTGGAATTTTTGTGAGGGTCAAATCTAGTTTAAGTTGAATCGAGACTAGCAAAATTTCTGCAAGTGGACCAATCATTAACAAACAGTCAATAATTTGTAATGGGTTTAAGATGCGATTTTTAACACTTTTATACATATCTCTGCGTTTCGGAACCTGAAAAGGACGGAGTCTGTAAAGAATTCGAAATGTAAAGATATGTGCAAAAGTTTTTAATAAAAACGCATCTTAAACCCACTAAAATTTTGTTCGCAACAATATTATTCTATTCCAATTTGCGTAAAAATTTACACACAATATAAAACCAATTCATGACAATTGTAAACAATAAAATCGCGGAAAGTGATGCAACCTCACCTTTGAACTTTTGTCCGGATAAAACGCTGTCGAAATCACTTGGCGTCTCTTTCCTCGCCCAATCATATTTATTGTAATATTTATCGGGGTTAAGAAGATGTCTTGTAGATTTGGAAGCGGCCCCGTCGTCCTGTTGTGTGAATTGTATGGGTGAGGACGGTCTTGGAGGGCCCGCTGTACCGGCGATCTCGCTAAGTTTGCAAGGACCGAACGCTTGCACCACAATGTCTTCTTGCGTGCGACACGCTTGCAATTTTAGGTGGCATTCTGACTCGTAAGTTTTCCCGTCGCTGCCACATACCTGTTGGTTTTTGTTGTTTTCAGTGGAGTTTATGTAGACTCGAACATATATTCTGACAGTACCTTGTATTAGATAGGTGCAAGAATGTTGGTAACACACGACACTGTCTGTAGAATAACAGATACGTTTGTGTAGAGGGAGTAAAATGTGGGGTTGTATTCTTCAAAACATGTAATTCAAGTTCGTAAGGCTTATAAGGGCTTCATTGAAATCAATCACAACAACATTGACATTTGATATGTGCTTACGAAACTAAATTGGATAATCCGATTTCCTTTCAGGAAAGTTTTTCAACATTATAATTCGGAGGATATTTCCCTTCAATGCTTTGAGAAATGTAATGAATAGGAAATCATTTTTTCCTGAGGAATAAAGTATTGAATTCGTAATATCCATTTTCAATTGAATGTTCAAAGTGACGTAATAATACCACTAATAGCTGTTACGTTCACGTCAACACAGGTAAGTATTATTAATTCATAATAACAACATAAATTATCAAAGCCCGAAAACACAACAGAAAAACATTGCAGTATTTCAAAGGGATTGACTTTTTAATACTGGAATATGTATAATTATTTTTATTTCATAGTTTACATTCCATTGATAAAATATATATTTAATAAACTCTTAATGTGACGTCACATTCCATAGTAACCTAGCAACAAAACAAACAAGTACACTCTTAGATTAGGAGGATATGTGAGCGGACACTACACACTCGCACTAGATCTCGTTAACTTTGGCATATCCTGTTAACATGGCGCTTGTTTTTTGATTTTTTATTATGTATTACTACGTCACGAACTCTCTGTCGGGTTTCAGATATTTGAGTTTACTACAAGCTGTTCGCACTTTTCAATAAATTAAACGCTTGTTTAAAAATTATTTTTATTAAACCCTGTTCATGGAGGGACAATTCAAAAGTAGTTAAGCTTTTATAAAAAATGAGCCTTATTTAAACTTACCAGCATATTGGTATCGCTATCAGGGCAAGGTGCTGCAGCACACTCACACAAAGCTCCTCCCGTGCGCTCAGTACATACCGCACCGAAATAACAAGACAATTCTGCACAAGAGCCCACGACACCACCACTTTCAGCTGGAACAAGAATTAAAATTACCTTGGGGTCCTAAGCAAAACTGCTCATTAGGAGAGTTCACCGTTAACATTAAATAGATATAAAAATATTATCTTTTTCATGTAAGTTATAGTAATGGGTCGAGAAAACGGTTTTACAATCATAATTTGTTTTTAGATATACACCGTGAATTTTGGGTTATCTGAGACTAGCGAATTTATCAAACGATTAAGGTTATATGTTTTTTTTTGGAAGTGTCTCCACGTTACCTCAATAATTGTGCAATTATGAAACCTTAACAATATTAGTTGTCATAAATTGATTCAATTAAAACTACTCATAGGATCTACGTACATAAAACGGATAATAATTCCATATAGTTCGATATCGTTTATGGGATATTTTTTAAACGATATATATCAATATGTTTTTATGTGGGTGTAAAACGATTATAGTTTAAAACTATTCTCACTATGTTTTTTACGATTTATACATTTATTTTTATTTATTCAGGTAATTTAAAATTCACTGTTTATAGATCGTTATTGATTCTAGAAGTAAATTTTAACATTGGGCGCTGGTTGTGGAGGACTTAAGGAGGTGACCGACACTAAAAAATATTGCCCGGTATTTCTTAGTTTAAATATCGCAATAAACAAATTATTAGTTGCCAGTTAAAATCCATCAATCATCAATAACGCATTTCACTAGCTAACCCTAAGAAGAATGTTAAGAAGAACAGTGGAAAAAACTCGCAAGAAACTTGCCTATTTATTAAGTCAGCTAATTACCTACTATTATATCAAATAAAACTTATGTTATCTACGTATTAAAACACCACATATCTAATGTTATTCACATTTCTCGAAAGCCTAATAAAGTTTTAAATGCTTATACCGAAGTCGCGAAGTTTTATTTCGACAATCCTTAGGTGCGGTGCGCCGGCTTAATAAAGTTTTAAACTTCAAACTCAAGTTTTGTGGACAAGAATTTCGTAATACCATACCAAGATCTTCTTAACTGGAGATAATAGATAAGCCGCCACAAAGCGCTCGACATACTGAATCGTAATCCCCAAAGGTCCTTAAAATTGCTTTGATTAACTCGTGTCACACAGTTCTCAATCATAATATAATATAAATAAGTAGCTGTCCCAGCGAACTTTGTACCGCCATAAAAAAATATGGGTTTGTGGTAGAAGGGTGAAAGTTTAGGGTTGTATTTATTTTTAGATGTATCATAAAGAATTAAAACAAAAAAATTATCCATAAAAAAATTAAGGGTCACCCTAAAAATTGAGGGGGATGAAAAATAGATGTTGTCCTATTCTCAAGCCTACTGAATATGCAAGTAAAATTTCACGAAAATCGGTAGAGCCGTTTCCCAGTAGTTCAATTTCGCACACCGTGACACGAGAATTTTATATATTAGAATAATATAGGATACAAAATTATAACATACCTAATACTATTCAAATTATTAATGAGGAATCATTATAAATTTGAATAGTATGAAAGTAAGAAAATAAAGGCAGCCTTGTGGGACCACAAAACCTGTTAACGATTCTACTTATTTAATTAAGACTGAAAAGGCTTAAGTTAAGACATGTGTCACATATCCATCTTTTAAGTGTTCTATGATATGAGTAGTGCTCGTCCTTCTAATTCAACCTTTTGTAGTATTAAAAATAGTTTTTTGAACAGTTTCTATTTTAACATAAATAATGATTACAGACTTGAATTCGTTGATCACTTTCGCTAGGGTACGGTTAAATCCATATAAAAAGTGCATTTGGCAATTTCTTATACAATATATTCTTTAAAAACTTTTGTGTACCATCATTGACTTTAAAACGGTTCGGTTTTATTATAACTCGTTGACGACAAAATCATGATTACTAGTTCGATTTAGTTCATCAGAATTATATAAAGGGAATAAAAAAAAACGATGTGATGTGAACCTTAAATGTATTTTGCAATTAGCTATAAGCATATATTGTTTTAAACTTTCATGGTCACATATCACAACATATCGGTCTACCCTCTGACGTCGTCTTTTATCGAGCGCAGTAATATCGGAGACTCAAAATAAACAAGGTACATGGTAACAATCCCGTTAATAGCTATAATACCCTTAAGCGACTCCTGGACAGTCATATCTCTGAATATGTAACCACAATTAAATTACTGTGCTTTTACGTACTCTTAGAGTCTTCACGATTGCATTAGGAATCATTAACAATGATTAAGCTTACTTTTCTTTTCTATTACTCTCCAAAGGGAACGGTCACAAACTTCATTAGTGAATGTAGGAAAAATTGAAGATGATTCAACTAATATGAAGAGCATGTAACGACGACCTCCGTGCAGGGGCGGTTTATGCACTAGGCCCGCTAGGCCCGAGCCTAGGGCGCCGTGGCAGAAGGGGGCGCCACGGGCCGATAAATTTGAAAGATTAAAAGCGAGAAAGCGAACGTTTTAATCGGGTCCACTCAAACGTCAATATCGCCAATATAAAATATATATGTGCTCCATTCCTACCCACAAACCTACATAATATATGTATGATTGAAATTCTGTTTCCGTTAAATTATTTTTGAAATACACTCCCGCTCAAAAGTATGGTTTCACTTCTCGAAATTTTCAGCTTCGGTATAAGTTCCATATGTTGGTGGAAAAAGGTCGTAAGAGCATTTAATGAGCACCGTTTTGAAGGAGACAGTTTTAGCTTCACTTTGCCATTTTTTATAATTTTTTACAATTTTTTTTATAGTCCCCACGCGCTTTTGAACATGGCAGTTTTTCGATGTTTTTTTGCCCTCTGGAAACGGGCTGTCTGGCTGTTAAAAAATGTTCCTTGCAATTTCATTCATCGCAGTTTCAAAGAGGATATTAAACACTGCATTTTTGTTTTTGAAAAAGTATCGTGCGATTTTTTTTTTACCAAAAATATTCTAATTTTCGACAAAAATTGATAATTTTATTCAATTCGGCGTATCTTGAAAACGGCGGGTGATCGAAGAAAATAGCAAGGGGGTGAAAAGTTGCAATAGATCATGATGGACCTTGTAGATTTATTTCAGAATTTTTTTCCGACATTTGTTTTTTCATACTCTTGCAGTCGAAATGATTTAAATTTTCTCATGATTTTTTCTTTTTTTTAGACGGCGCAGGCATTTCTTTTATTGGTTTTATAACCATCTTGACGTAATTTTTACTAAAAATCAAATTTCGCACAATTTTTTGTACGTTTTTTTCATTTAAAAAAAATAATTTTTAGTTCAAATTACGTCAAGATGAAGATGAAACCAATAAAAGCAATGCCTCAGCCGTTTAGAAAAAAGAAAGAATCATGGGAAAATTAAAATCATTTCGACTCCACGAGTATGGAAAAACAAATGTCGGAAAAAAATTCTGAAATAAATCTACCATGTCCATCATGATCTATTGCAACTTTTCACCCTCTTGCTATTTTCTTCGATCACCCGCCGTTTTCAAGATACGCCGAATTGAATAAAATTATCAATTTTTGTCAAAAAATAGAATATTTTTGGTAAAAATAATCGCACGATACTTTTTCAAAAACGAAAATGCAGTGTTTAATATCCTCTTTCAAACTGCGATGGATAAAATTGCAAGGAAAATTTTTTAACAGCCAGACAGCCCGTTCCCAGAGGACAAAAAAACATCGAAAAACTGCCATGTTCAAAAGCGCGTGGGGACTATAAAAAAAATTGTAAAAAATTATAAAAAATGGAAAAGTGAAGCTAAAACTGTCAGCTTCAAAACGGTGCTCATTAAATTCTCTTACGACCTTTTTCCACCAAGATATGGAACTTATACCGAAGCTGAAAATTTCGAGACGTGAACCCATACTTTTGAGCGGGAGTGTATAAAAATCATTTATTCTAGCCTGTGCTTTTTCAACTATTTTATGGAGAGGGGAGAGGGGGCGCTAATTTCGTCAGGCCTAGGGCGCCCGTTTTCGTAAACCGCCCCTGCCTCCGTGGCTCGAGTGGTATGCTCGCCGGTTTTGAAGGTATCGCCAGTAGGCGATACCTTCGAAAACTCTGAGTACAGAGTTTCCGGCTTCGAATCCCGGTGGGGCAAATGTTTGTGTGATGAATATAAGCATTTGTAGGTACCTAAGTCATGGATGTTTATATGTATTTCCAAATAAAAATATACGTATATTTGTATTACTATATGCTTTCTATCCGTTACTCTAGTGTCCTATAATACAAGCCTTACAGTGCTTACTTTGGGGCTAGGCTAATTAGTGTGTGTGTTAGAAATATTTATTTATTTCTTTATCTTAATGCAAAAAACCAATTCAACTTACGATCTGAACAACCGTTGGGTCCGAGCCTTCTTCTATGGTCTGCGCAAACCGTACACTTTTGACCTTGGACACCGGTTCTACAGACGCATCGTCCTGTCATCTGTTCGCAGTCCTCTCTCACTGAACCAAATGCTGAACAACCGCATGCTAAAAGTTTCGTATTCTTAGCTATTTTTATTAAGTACGTATCGAATTTTCAATAACTAAGTGCTTAAAGCCAAATTGAGAAAACCTTCCAAATAATCATAAGATTGAATCACTAAATAGTCCGCTAGTGGCAATTTTCAAAAAAAAATGGAAATAAAAATATATTAACTGATCATTATCTACACAATCTACGTTTAATAATGAATGAAAATACTCACGGATGCAGCCTGTATGCCCAGTACCAATTCTTGGCAGGCCCCAATATCCAGGTTCACAGCGGTCACATTTCAACCCTCCTACACCCGGCCGACAAGAGCACTGCCCGTTTTCATCGCAGCGGTCAGACACTGAACCCAATCGATTACAGCCACACGTAGAACTTGTGATTGGGCAACCTTCTTCGTTAGGTCCGGTCGCTATCGTGCTACCATCCGAGCAACACCCATGTACACTTTCCGAACAGTGGAAAAATTTCTTTTCTTCCAGCTTCGTGTCGTCTGCATAGAACATTACAGTCAACGCTTGCATGCATACGGAATCATAAACGTGCTACTTTACGAGACGGTAACAAAGGTTTTCAAGCCGTATCAGCTAGCGTGATTGTTTCCAATTTAAACATGGTGCCATGTACTGTTAGTATCTTCACCCTGACAAATCACCGGCTAAGTACCGTATATATGCATGGAAAGGGTACGACTTTCGCATGAGTGAAGTCGGATGTGATAATTTTGAACCAGGACTTTGAAATTACATTGCGAATTCAAATAAGCTTCGCGTGATACGGTGAACATTGCCAGAGAAATGAAAACAATCAAGTAATGAGCTAATCGCGGAAATAGATAAGAATGTAAATTGAAATTATAATTCCACCTGAAAACGTTTGATACACAAGTAATGTTTAAAGTAAATTATATAATTTTAATTTCATCATTTCGATTTTTACCAAAATGTTTGTACTTAACGAATCCTCACCCTACACATTAAATATATAATTTAAAAAATGGTTTCAAATCGTGCGCTCGCTTTGAGAAATTTCGTAGGCCTCGCAATGAGAAATTTCGTTGTGATCCTAACATTTACAGATACATAGTTTATTTGTATTTTTAATTATTTTTACTATTGTCACTAACAGGATCGCAACGTTTTTCAAATCAAATGAGAAATGGAATTTTCATAATTCAGTTTAATTTCAAGTTTTTTTCTCTGTTCAAAACATAGAATATAGTCATGATTTTAGTAGAACAATTAAAAGTTGGGATCAGATTTTTATTGTAAATAATAATTTAATAAAACAGTTATCCATATGAAAATGCTGCTCAGCCTATCACTTGTCCTACGCATCAATGGCTGTATGTCGTGTCCTGTCAATGACTAAAAGTTATGCAGTATAAAATTAATTATAATCTAGAGCTCCTCCACGTTTCGGGAGTCGGGACCCACGTTAACTTTTGGCCCTAGCCATTTATTAGTTTGAAAGTAGCAGTCGTTACACCCACCAATCTGTACTGGGTGTTGGTAGGGTTACAGTCCTATGTGTGGGACAGTTTATAGTCTATTTACTAGTGTAAGTTCGTAGGATATTGTTTTTTATGTTTATGCAGGCAAACTAGCTTGCAGTCCACCTGATGGTAAGTGATCACTGCTGCCCATGGACACTTGCAGCACCAAGGATATCTTAACCACTCCTGCGTTGGATATCTTAACTAATGATTATATTTTTAAATGAAATATAACATTAACTCACTTTTAGGGCAACATCTAGCAGCTGTAAGGGTTATGTGGCAATACGTGCCACCAGGACAATCTTGACGGTGCGGGCCATTTCCACAATCTATTTCAAGGCCAGTAGTCGGATCAAGCATTGCTTTGTTATTCCCACAAGGTCGCACTTCCATACCTGCAGCGTTCCAAATGAATTATTTAAACGTCAAAATATAAATCACGTTGATTATTATTTTATTTACCACGCCACTTTCTTTGCTTTTACTGTTAATGTTAATAACGTGCTTATGACATGCAAGCAATGTAATTTCAAACCTTTGCACAGGTCCAAAGGGCGCAACCGCAGCTCGAGTTGCTTTTGGCAGCCTTCCTTGCGCATAGTGCACAGGCTGGAATACAATCTGAAATCCGACGCGCAGACAGGAAAGTAGTCCACTTCGTGAGGGCACTCGAAGAGGCACGAACATCTAGGGTACCCGTCCGCTCCGACTTCGCAACTCGCGCCGAAATCGCAGCGAATGTCCCGGCAGGCGGAGGGGCTGGCTGTACCACCCACATCCGTCGCACCCAACGAGTCTGTCGATCCTTCCTCCGCCTCAGTAGTGGTCATCGCGGTGGTTGCTATCCACCCCCACCCAAATATTTGCGTGTTAGTCGAGCGATAAAGCGGAAAGTTAGTTAATTGATCGAGGATGGGTCGCTTTATTGAAATTACTGCTAACAACTGGGTTGATGACGGTCAGATGGTAAATATTGTGACTGTGCCCGCCCATATTGTGTACGAGTATTTCGGTACGTACTACTGAGTTATTCAACTGAGTCGCAATATATGTTAACTGCTATAATTTAATGTACTACAGACAGGGAGTTAGTTTATTGAATAGATTGTAACACACTCTCGATCAATCTTGTTAGTCAAAGGATTTTGTTGCAACAATGATAGTCTCAATATTGTAGAGGAAATAAATTTACACACATTTTTAAATAAATAATTTTGAATCTGAAAGTTGATGATATCGAGTTTAGATATCCAGATATTATACAATCGTAATCAAATTAGTGTTTTAATGGAATTGCATGTAAAGAAAATGGGAATTGTATGTTTCAATATTTCTCACAAATCAATCCTAACCACTTGTTGCTTGCTGGTCATAGTTTCGTTTCTTTCACATTTTTGTTAATTAAAGCAATAGTTGTTTGTGATTGAAGTGTGAAAATCTGATCATCTGCCGTAAATATTAGAAATAGTTGAACACAATATTACTCACTCATCGCAATTGGAGGTACAACTGCCAGTCTATCCTTGCAGTCCCCGTAGAAGATGACATGGAGCGTGGCGGGCGGTGGGAGCCTACATGCCGCCTTCTGAAGCTCACACTCGTTAGGGTAGGTCTGCATGGTGCTACCGCAGACGGGCTCCCGTGCCGCTCCAGTGCAGTCAGTCGGGCATATGCAATCGCCAGCCGAGCAGTGAGCCCCGAACGAACATTGCACACCCTCACATAACGCTGCGACAAAATATACCCCGTTTAAAATTACCCTAAAGTGTAATACACAAAACTTTATTGAAAACACCAAAGTACAGTACAGATAAAAGGTAAATACATGTGAAAGCATCAATGGCTGGTCTTATTGCTAAAACGATTTCTTCACGGCAACCTTTGGCAAGGAAGCTGAACTCAGCGGTGTCAGTAAAAGAAACAAGGAGTAAAAAAAGGAATTATTAATTACATATAACTAGTCTGGCCGTAAATACTGTTACATAAAAACTTTGTTTTTTTCTGCTTTTTAATTATTTTGAATTTGGAACACGTATATTACTTTTTTAACTTCTTTCGATTTTGCATCATTTCCCATATTTTTCGGGGTGTTAAAGAAAAAAGGATTGCAATTATCGCCTTGCACAAAGTGGGTATGGAGCCATCGGTCATATTCCAGACACTTCAAAAGCTTGGTATCAGCCGTATATTCGTATATCGTACTATCAACAGATACAACACCACTTCCGTCTGTCGAAGACCAGAAAATATCGGGGCTGCCGCGTGCTGTTAGAACTACAAAGGCTGTTAATGCCATTAAAGCCAGAATCCGTCGAAACCCCATTAGGAACCATGAAATCTTATCGCGAGAAATGAAGATTCCCGCTAGGACTCTACCGCGTATTATAAAAAAAGACCTGAAGCTCGGTGCTTATCTTTACAATTAAAGAGAGTGGATCGATCAAAAAAAAATCAAGATTGAAGAACACTACAATAACCAAAATGATAAAGTGTACGCTCACAGTTCTAAAGAAGCTGCTTAAGTGGTCGGAAAGCTATAACGTGGTCATCATCCTGCGTCAGTGATGGTTTGGTGGGCCGTGTCTTGTCAAGAAGTCACAGAACTATTTTTTTGTGAAAAAGGACTAAAACTTCAGCCAAAGTGAAACAAGATACAGTCTTGGAACCTCTCAGCAATACCCTTTTTAAAATTATACCGTGGACTTTCCAAAGGATTCTGCACCTGGTCACAAGGCACGAACTACCCAAGCCTGGCTTGAAACCAACTTTCCGGACTTCAAAAGAGCTGAAGACTGGCCCTCTTCTAGCCCAGACTTCAAACCATTAGACTTCAAATTATGATCAGTTTTAGAGGACATGGCCTGCTCTAAAAGACACGGTGACATTCAGTCTAATAAAAAAATTTGGAGCAAAAAACTAAATTTCCCTTGTGGAAACAATGCGTAAATCCATAGATTCGTGACCGATTGAAGGGTTGTATAAAAGCCGAAGGTGGCCATTTCGAATTGAATATTTTTTATTTTTGTCTGTGACTTTAATCAATATTTACGTATAAATTTTAATAATATTACATTACTTTATTTAAAAAATAATGCATTTTCATTTGTAACAGTGCTTATGGCTGGACTAGGTACATATAAGTATATTATAAATATACAACTTCTAGATTATGACCTCGTTAGTAACTTATATCCTCGTCGATTGCAGCAAACTTTATAAATTAAATATGTTAAGGATGGGAGAAAGGCGACTAAGCTCGCGAGGGCATCACGACTAACATCCAAGTATAAGCGTCATAAATAAAGTCATTCGCTTTTTATATCGTTTACGTCTCGGGGAGGTTACGACTCCATAAGTATACAACTGAAGTTTGTACAGAAACGAATGGTTGAACAGATAATGTCATTGCATCCGACAATTGCGACTTTCTGGCACCATTTTCTCATTCTCGTGTCGACGAAAATTAGTCTCGCGCTTTTCCGCAACGTGGAACGGGAGCAGACACCCGTTCAAATTTAATAACGATTGTTTACTCCATGAAAAAAGGCTAAATGAAAGAAACAAAAAAAAGATGGTGAAGTCGATTAATATCCGAGACCAACCAAGCAAAAAGTTGAAAAGGCCGAACCGTAGCCTTTTTAACTTTATGCTGGTTGGTTACTACGAGCAAAATAAGTTGCGAGCGTAATTTACATGGCCGTAGATATTATTTTCCATATCTCTGTTTTTGGGTGGCGTGAAATATCTGTTTATTTATTATTATAAAATTATAAATCGTAACCTAAGAATTGCACTTCGTAAACAATTTGACGAACCGGGTGCACAAAATTATTATGGAAGGAGAACCCGGGAGTATTTAGTTCCACGAATATTCAATAGCTTGGATATGGAGGACTGTACTAGCGTATTAGGTTTCAAATGTAAAGTAAAACAAATCTTGTTAGAAAAATTTGATAAGCAAATCACAACTTTTTATTAACATACATTTTGAATGTAGCATGTACTTACTCTATCACTCTTGTTACTTTAAACAAATTGTAATTTATTTATTTTATTATTAGAAGTTATTTTCAACATAACTTGTGGCATTGGTATGTTAGGATAGGAGTATATGTAATAAATGTCCAAACTAAATTAGATAAAAATATAGGCATTGTTTTTGTAGAAATATTTAAATCGATTTATGATTAAAAATGAGTGCATTTTTCGCCAATAAACTGTTAATCAGTTTGGCGAAATTATAAAGTGTAGTTAATAGTGTTATAGTATAGTTGATAAATAAATTAAAAAAAAAATGTATTCGGAAACCATGTGTTCGAATTTAAACATTCATATGCTATACATAGTAGTAAAAGAAAGAAATAGAGTAAGCCAGCTGCCGAATTTCACGCGCTGATTGTAATCCATACTAATGTTAGAATGTCAAAATCAGTCAATATCTGTGTCTTTTTTACTCCTTCACACTTAATCCGCAGATCATATTTTATCATGATAATTTTGGTATAGAAAAAAATGGGTTATTGGAAGCTACTTTTTGTCGCTAAAGAACTTTCATGGGGTAAGGTTAAGAACGAAAGATTTTATCAAAGCTAAACTTTCTTTCATTACTTTGTAAATAAGGAAGTAACCCAATACAGCAGTGCCTTTCAACTGACGGACATTCGCTGCAGCTGTTGAGCTTATACTCTTTAAAAAAAACGAAAAATTGATTCAATATATCTTTTTACCTTCATTGAATATCCTAGTAATGTAAGTCATCCAGTGTAATTCCTAAGGATATTGTGAAATGAGGAACCAATTAATCTATGCAGAAAAAGTTGCGGGCGTCCGCTAGTAATGAAAACTTTTGAAGACGTTATGGGCTTTCTACTTCTCTGTTACCCCGAAATGCAACACAGACCCAATGGATTTGGATTAAAATGTATTGGAAACTTTTTTCCTTCGATGCCTGTCCACTAAAATACATTTTACGTAAAATAAAATTGGAGATTTAGCGGAACAACAAAATAACAATAGCTCGGTCTTAGGAAACATTTTCTAAAGCGCTCAAGAGTCTTAATACTGTTTGTAGGTTGCTTGTAAGTCTTGAATTAGTACAAGTAGGTTAGCATTAAGACGCTGATAAATACCAAAATAAATTTAGCCTTTGAACTTTAATACTCATTTTCGTCTATTGATACATGATAGCAACAATTTTCGATTTTTACTTGTAAATTCTCCTTATTAAACAGCTATTTTTTGTAGCAATATCACTGCAAATAAGTAAAATGCAATTTATTTTAATTCAGAAAAACCAAGTCAAATTAGTTAAATATATTGTGTTAACTAAAAAGACCATTATATTTTTGATGACAATCAGTTATTGACTTCTAAGGTCTTAGGTTTGAATATCGGTTTATGGTTTGCCTGTATTATATTCAATAGCACAAGCTCTGATTTTTTTTCTGATTTTTGAGAAAAAAATCCGATGAAAACAATAGTACAATGCTGCAGCGGCCCGCAAAAAAGGTATTGATGGATGAATGTTTAAATATGGGCCCAGGCAAAGCCAAGACACACATACGTAAGTTCATCAATGCCTTTTTGTGGCCAAGGCTTGTATAGAACTTTTATTAATAAATACCCGGATATTAAACTAAGTAGTACCTAGGCAGAACTTCTTATTTTAAAGTGTTAATTTTTTTTTCAATAAACAGCGAGCTAGTTCGAAATTTAAATAAAACCTTTGATAAGTTATCTCCTTAGTTGCCATATTCTGGAGTAAAAGGTCGTTCAATTTTTAAATTACATGACAGATATGTGTTAACGATGAAATTAATTTGGCCGCTAAACCACGACAGATATGGATTTTCAAACAACTTTTGCCGGCCGGTGCTCGCATGTCAAAGGGGTTGTCAAAATAGTGCTCAAAGGACATTGTTCAGCGTCCATACATAGTTAGCCTAAGAACCAACAATCATGAAATGTTATTGTCTAGGTTCAAAATCGTAAGTAAATAACTGTAAAAACAAAGATTATTGACGGACACTTCTGAGAACTTAAATTATTAGGAAAAATATTTTTTTTTTGGGGTTATGTTTAATATTCAATGAAACATAGGTCAACCTTTGAATTTAGTATAAACTCAGTATGAAGTGAATTAATATTACAACTAATTCATTTTACTCGGTGCGATTTTAAAGAATAACTATTAGAAAAAACTTGAATAAAAGAAAAACTGTAGTTATGCTTCTTATTTATTGGCTATTTTCCACATAATTGTATCATATTGTTTATTGTATTTATTTGTATATCACATGTAGGTATATTGTGTAAATATGTAGCGTGAATGTGTATCAGGTGTTCTTGAATAATTTGGCAGTATGATCCTCTCAGGATGTTGTGGCACAGGTTCACTAGCACTTGGTAATAAGGGCTCTGCTCTTTGGTAACATCGATGGCATATTAGATATCCGAAATAGTTAAATTAAAGGAAAAACAATCGCAAATAAACACACACTACTCTTTGGAATGCACGAATGCCACAGATTACTAAGAATGCAAACTGCATGCACCACAGCCACAGAGTAACGAGTTTTATGCCGGCCCTTCACTCGACAACAGTTTGTCCTTGTCATGCAAGGTAGTTTTCCAATTACAGCTCAAGAGCGCATTATGCGGCATAATGCTTATCGTTGAATGTTTCAACTACAGCAACGCTTCGCACAATCGAGCACTCTCAAAAGTAA